GTACTTGTGTTACTTAGGCCCGTAGCCCGGTTTAACAAGGACCGTATCCTTTTATACTTAGTGCTGCGAAAGTTTTTTGTTACTTAGGCCCGTAGACTTTCCAAGAGAGGACCGTATCCTTTTCAAAGATGGCATCAAAACAAGGAGTATACTTGACACATCAAAACAAGAGCTATTTATTCATGCTTAACAAAACACTTTTGTCAAAACAAAGCAAGCAAGATTTATCAAAACAAGTATAACATAGCTATCACAATGGGTTTGTCTCGCTTGATAGAGACTTAGATGTAGTGTCATATGCTATGTGCTTAATTGATAACATGCTTATGTGACTATGTGGGTATGGGATTTAATTTCTAGGATGTTGATTGGATCCTTGGGTTTCTGTGAGTCTTGTTGGAAAGGCACTTGATCAATGCTGTTTCTAACTGGAACTCTAGTAACGCCTCGGGACTATCATTATCCGGAAATGAAATTCGTAAGTGCTTAGGTGTTTATGTGCTTACGTGGAATGAATTACAGTTGTCCATGCATTAGAACGTGAGTGTTTAGTTTTGACGCATTTATGAATGTGCTAATAGTCTTGGTTATCTTTATTAGGATGTCAGGACGAGGAAGAGGTGCTAGGCGTGGTAGGCCTGCGAGGCAGGAAGTAACTTTACCGGATGATATTCCGACAGTGCAGGAAGGAGTTGGTCAAGCCAACGTGGCCGAGCCAGCGGGCCAGCAGGCTATGAGTGCCTTGGCACGAGAGATAGCAGGGGCTTTGGGTATTCTCAGGGCTGGGAATCAGGCAGCTGAGGCATGGCCTTCTTTCTTGAAGAGGAAGTTCTTCCGGTCTAACCCGGATGAGTTTGTTGGGGATCCAAAAGAACCACTGAAGACTGACGAGTGGTTAGAACAGATGAGTAAAACGTTCGAGATGCTTGGCATCGAGGACGGAGCTTTGAAAGTGACATTGGCATCCTTCCAGCTGAAGGGAGATGCGGGTCAATGGTGGAAGTACGAGAAGGCTCGTGTTGGTGGAACATGGGAGGCGTTTGTAAATGCTTTCCAGGAGAGGTTCTTATC